CATAATAGAGCCTTAGCATATGTTCAAAGAGCCCTCAAAATAAACATTTGGGATAATGTTGTGAAAAGAAAGTTAAGAATCAGTTGATATGGGTATTAGCTATATAGGATAACAGGCAAGGTTCCTGGTTTTTAATACGATCTTTTCTAGTTTTACAGGAAACAAATGTGAGCTGAGCTAAGAGGAGTTAGGTGGATGTATCTTTTGCCCAACGGTCTCAAAAGTTGTCCTCTACTTGGCTGCACATTACAATCAATAGATGAGTTTTACAAATACTGATACCAGGCTCATTTCCCAGAGATTGTGATGTAAAAGTGGTCTAGGGTGCAGTCAGTCATTGGTAGTTTTTTGTTTGTTTTTTCTTTTGTGTTTGTTCCAGCTCCCTAAGTATTCCCAATGTGCAGCCAAAGTTGGAAACCACTGATCCAGAAAAAGCTTTTCTTGAATAGAGTAATATTTATGTGGAGGGACGAGTCACTAATGATGAGTCGTAAGGTTCTGCTTCACACCCTGACCTGCTAAACATTTTCTAGACCTTGGGTACAGACACAAAGAAGATGCAGAAAAATCTCCAGAATATGGAGTTGGAACATGAATGGAAATCCAGTATCCTGGATAACAGTATTTATAACAAAAATACTAAGCTGAATCTTTATAACTACATAGAATGTGACCTGCACTTGGGGATTAAATCCATCATACAAGTACAGAAGAGAGAAAGTAGGTCTAAGGGTGGCTATCACAAAAAATACCTAGAAAATTTTCATTGACAATAACTCCTCAGTTTTCAGTATATGTGACGTGACTACCTAAGAAGCTACTCTGACTTAGAACCAATTCTTTTAAATGGAATCCATGGCCCTGGGCTAGTTCATTTCTGTACACTTCAGTATACTCACATATATCAATCACTTTTAGCCACACTTCTTGAACTTTAATGTGCATACAACTCTCACCTGAGGATCCTGTCAATATACAGATTCACATTCAGTGGGTCTGGGATAGAACTGAGATTCCCCAGGTCTAACAAGCTCCCAGAAGCTGCTGCTGCTGTTGGTGGAACACAGATAAGTGCTTCGAAGGCTTATGAGGACTAGTGAAATGACCTACCTAAAGTGCTTGGCACAAGCATGGTTGGCACCCTACAGAAGAAAAGACTTAAAAACAAAATGATAAAAAACATGTTTAAAACCTAGACATTGTATGATCCAATCTTCCTTTCTGCTCCTTGGAAAGAGCAAATCTAGAGCAGTTAAGATAGTTTACCTCCTAATAGCCAAAGGTGTACAATGGAGAAGAGAGATAAGAGTAATGCTTTTTGACCCAAGAAAGTATAATCAAGATCCATGGGTAGAAATTTAAGAGACCTTTTAATTCCCTACAAGGAAAACCTTCTAACAATACATGCTGTTCTACAGCCAATTAATCCTTTTGACAGCAAAGTCTCTAGTTTTAAAATATGAGCATAGAGCAATTAATGTTAAAGAGGATAGTCATACTTCAAGTCACTGTTTAACTATAAAACAGCTTGGCTATCTAAAGAGACATCACACATTTAACGTGTTACGAAAAGTTAAAATAAAATAAAAAATAAGCCTCGTGATTTTCCTCCTCATCCCTACCTTCTTCCTGAAGACTTCTGCTTGTACAAAGAATTTTTTAGGTCCAAAAGTCTTTGAAACATCCTTAATTGCCTTTCTCTCACCTTTCACATCTCTTCCTTCAATAATTACTAGCGGCAGTACCTTCCAATTATGTTCATAATCCAATTACTTCTCATTACCTCCATTACCACTATCCCTGTTGAAATCACTATCACCTCTGTCTGCATTTCTGAAACAGCTTCCTAAGAGGTTTCTCTGACTTCACCCTTGCTCTTCAACATGGCAGTCAAAGTGTTGTCATTTCTCTGCTCAACACCTTCTAATAGCTTCATATCTCATTCTGAGGAAAAACCAAAGTCTTTATAATGGTTTAAAAGACTCTGCATGATCCACGCTCTTTAACTCTTGACCGTATTTCCTATCACTCTCCATCTCTTTCACACTTCTCCAGCCACCGCTGAAGTCACCATTTCCAGCATCATATCAATAATGCTCCCACCTTAGGGTCTTTGCACTTGCTCTTCCCTCTGCCTTAAAGGCTAGTCTCTGAGGTCTGCAAGTTTATGCCCCACCTCATTAACATATAAAACACCATAAAGGCAACCAACAGAGCATTCTAATTGCTCTCTATGGAGTAAAGTACTCACACTCAGCACTTTACTTTCCACAAGTTGGTACAGATGACAAACTGGGTGAGGCACTCCAGTTCCAATTGTGACTTAGGCTTATTTCTTAAAATCACAATTGCATCAAGTCCTCTGTGAACACCAAGTCAGGGAAATCTCGGTGCTGTACTCCCCCAGCAGGACACTATAACCACCTGGACAAAAAAGAACTCTTCTGATAGCTCAGGCCTGCTGGTCTGTGCCCCAGTCTTTACACAGCTCTAAAAAAAATGAATCAACATCCTAGATGCAGGGTCATTCTGCTGTCCACAGGAAATTATATCTTTTTTCTCCTTTTATAACAAAAGTCCTTAGCTGAGCTTGAGAAAACCTAGCTATCACAGGGTGGCCGTGAATGGACAATAACAGAGAAAGTTGGGACATGGCATTCAGGTGGATTCCTTTCCAGAAAAAGAAGTCATCCATTTACAGAGATGACTCTCTCTAGGAATCCATGTCTCAGGGCTGCTGTGCATGGTTTTTCTGGTTCACACTATCAATACCAGGGACATTATTCACATGGTGTTGTGCGGTGCAGTTTTCCCAGCTATTCAGCTTTTAAGGTTCAGAGAGTAAAGCCACTCTTGCTTCAGAGGGATGAAAACAAACGCATCTGATGTAAGAATTAATGTCGGCAAGGCAAGTAAGGAGGGAAATGAAGGGAGATTTGGAAATGAAGTGAGAAGTGTCCTGAAGGAGAGGGTGCACTTTGGATGTAATCTTTGGCCTCATTTCCTCTCACCTTGCACTAGAAGTCCTCCACCCCTTCCCTCATGAGTTGGCTACTTTCCGACATAAACCAAAGAGCCAGAGGGGCATGGGGCTACTTCAAAACCCTTGTGTACTAGTTTAAGACAGCAGAGCACTGCTATCAGGAGCTCAGAGCAGCAAGGTCAACTCCTAGCTATAACTATTCCTCAGCCAAGGAATCAGATTTCCTCTCATAAGAAGTCCTCTTACTGACTCTTTCTTGGCGGATGCCTGGTGTAGGGGCTGAAGAGAACCTGAGAACACAGGATCCAGCCCTGGATTGAAAGGAGCAGAGGCAGAAAACTGGCCAAAAGATGTGATTTAGAAATAGGCCTCATCCACCTTCTCTCGTAAAGCCAAAGACAACTGCTTATGTGGGATAGCAAGGAGAACTCGTGGTCCAGTCACAGGCAAGGAAGTGAGATGTTTCAACACTAACACTTGCTTTGGGAAAAGCATGTAAAATAATTGTTTTGCTCCTGTCACTTAAGGACCACTTCCCCGACTTAAGACATCTTCCTGGGTCTTGTGAGATAAGGGACTGTGGTTTATTCAGCACATCCTATCCAGCAATGAGGCACACATAGGCTGAACATTAAACCTCCCTGGAAATTACTGGGATCAGTATTTCTCTACTCAGTTCTCCACTCTGAAGTAATATATAAGTGATCATTTGATAAATTTAGTTAATATAACCACCGGAAATGGAAAACAATATTTTTTCTTTTTCCATAGGAAAAAAAAAAGCCTTGAGTAGAGAATATCTAATATGAACTTTTAAATTTTAGCAGATGACTTCACTCCACATACCCATCTTAAATACATCAAGGATATGATATTTAAGTCTGGTTCAGTATGACACTCCTTATAAATCAAATAATTCTTTTTATCTTTTGGATAAATGCATTTTTATATAATAAATTGGTTTCAACTCGTACATGATAATTTGCAAGGCAATAGCTCATTTTCAATATTTATATATAGCAATATCAAGAGAAAGGCCATTTTCTAATCCCATTTTTAACAATTCAACCACAATATGCTTTTTTGGTAAGTGCTCAGGTTGAGAGAATATTTGAGAAAACTATTCCTCCAGGTGAGAAACATCTCAAGCAAACATTGGAAGGAATTGCATTTTCCAGTAGTGGATGAGACGACCTGGGAGATCCAGGGACCTCGGGAAAAGCAAATGGCTCCACTAAAACTCCCTCCTCCAACCTTAATTGGTCAAATGCCAAAATAAATGAACTTTCCAAAGTTAGGAGCTTCGCAACTTTCACTAGGAATAACTACAGGTGCACAAACCAGGACCGACGAGCCCACCGCCCCGAGTGTGGCCGGCGGTAACCGCTGGTCGAGCCTAGAGCCCAGGCCCAGGCCACCTCCGCGCCGTGCGACCCGCCAGGAAAGGGTTCAGGCCCGTCTGCCCAGAACCAGAAGCTCCCTGTACCCTGCCCAACGCGGGATCGCGTCCCGCCCTTCTAACCCCAGAACAAGGAAAGGAACTAGATGCTCAGGACAAGGATGAGCAGCACCCGGTGGGATTCAACCCCAGCCCCGGGCAGTCCTCAACTCCCAACTTCCTAGAGTTTCCTTCGGCCTCGTTCCCCTTCCCACCGCTCCGAGGCCGCCGCGGCCTCTCCTCGCTCTGAGAGCAGAGCCCGGGAAGTGGAGCGCTTAGCTTGGAGCTCGGGAGCCGCCCCCAGGAGCCCTGGCAGTGGGAGCGCAGGTGGCGGGCGTGGTCCCTCCAAACCTGCCCCAGCAGACCCGGACTCGGCCTCCGGGCAGCAGCCACCGCCCGCGTCCCCGCCTGGTTCCAGCATCAGGCCACTGTGCGCTGGTTCTTGATCCCTCCCCTGTCTCAGTGGCCGCCCCCCGCCCTCTCCCAGTCCTCGTCGCTCTTCTGCCTCAGGCCGCGATGCGGCCCCAAGTCCCAGCCCAGGGCCCGTAGGTCCCTGCAGGCGGCGGTGGCGGCACTCACCTGGGTCGCGGAGCCGGGGTCTGGTACGGTCCCGCAGGTGGTAGATGAAATCCTGGCAGCTGTCGTGCTCCAGGGCCCCACGGGCACAGAGCTCGGCCAGCAGCTGCAGCGCCTGGTGACAGAGCGCGTCCCTGGCCCCGGGCATCGCCCCCCCGCATCCTCGGACCGCGCCGGGCAGGCGGGCGCGGGAGACAGCCCTCCGCCTGCCAGCTCAGAGCCGCCGCCTCCGGGCCGTCCGCGCTCACCGCCAGGGACGCGCCGGGAAACGGTCCGAGCCCGAGCCCCAGCCCCAGCCCCAGCCGGCCCTGCCTCCCACCGGTTGCATGCAGCTCTTCGCCAGCCGGTCGGTCAGGCTCTCTCTCCCTCTCTCTCTCTCTCTCCCGGCCGGCCCCTCCGTCCCTCCCCCGGCACCGAGGAGAGGCGGTGCCGCACAGCCCAGCGCGCCTCTCTGCTTGCGCTCCGCCCGCTACTCGCGGCCGCCGGGGGGCGGGGCCGGGTCAGGGGTGCGCGCCGCGGGGTAGGATCGCGGCGGCCCCAGCCACCTGGGATGCTCCCCAGCTCCTGGCAGAGCGCTGGACTTGGCATGGGACCTCGCACTCAGAGCGGCCGCGCCCCAGCTTGGGGAGTGCGAGCGGGTGCGCGCTCCGGGCGCTCTCGCTACTCCAACCCTCCGCCCAGATGCAAACCAAGCACCCGCTCCCACCAACCTGCGTGTGTCCAAAGCACGCTGTTGGATGCCTGGTGCAAAGGTTGCAATCTGGGCACACCCGCTGGATGCGCAGAACCGAGTCCCTGCTTTGAACTTGGAAAGAGCAGCCTGGGCATGAACCATGGGCCTACGGGTGTCAGATGCCCAAATGCAGGGTTTGGGTCCAAGATTCTCCAACAAAGGAAGGATTTCCCAAGCACAGGCCCTTTTCGACCACTGCGGTGATTTGGAGAAGGTGGAGGCTATATGTCAAAACTAAGATCAAATAAATAAACGACTCCTGGGAAAGACGCTGAAGCTTAACTGGGCTTCATAGATCCCAGTTAGTTTTCTAAGGAATCGTTTGGAAATATAAACACTGGCAATATATCTTCAGCACCCAAGGAGGAGTATCACAGAATCTTGGAAGGAACCTCGGGGCACCTCTCATCCACCCATCTTTTCAGCCTTTCAAGCAATAAAGCCTAGAAATAACCACGAAGTACCGTGTGTGTGAGTGTGTGTGTGTGTGTGTCACTGTGCCACAAGCGTTTTAGATACATAACTCCTTTAATTCTGTACATGGCCCAACAAGGTCTGTGTAATTGTTATCCTCATTTTGCCAATGAAAAACGGGGGGCTGGGGTCTCAGAAAGGTGTTACTTCCTCAAATTCATATATGATGATGGTAGCTTTGATTTTCTTTTTCTTTTTTTTATGTTTCTTCTTCTTTTGTCTTTTTTATAATATTGGTGTCCAGTCCCCCATTCTAGAACAATTAGAGTAGGATTTCTAGAACTGGTAACTGTCATTCTTAGCCATGAGGTTGTGCAGTCTTTATGGATATCCCACAACAATTCATATTGCACAGAAAGGTAATTTGAAATCCCATAGAATGTTCATGCAACAGGCAAGCTTTAAAATCCTGCTGTTAATGGTACTAGGGCTTCAGGGAACTTATATGGGAATGGCAGAGAAAATGCAAAGTTGAAAAGGTAAAGATGCCTCTAGAGAGTTGTGAAGAGACAAGCAGAGGGAAGAGAAAATAGTTTAAAGGGAGCCTGTGGGGAAGGTTGAGCAGATGCTGTTTCTTAAAAGGGGGAAACCCTTAGAGAAGGAGAAAAAGGCCATGAACAGAGAAGGTGACAACAGAGATAGTGTGATGCTGGGGGGTGAGAAGGTAAGTATGTTAAAGCATGTAGAAATATTACACTAATGCCATTACTTCATAGAGGAACTGAAGGCAACTAGTGAAAAAAATGACTTTGATAAACCAGGTAAAAGATGATGAAGGCCTAAACCCGGCCAAAGGCATTAGCTGATTGCTAGAAACAACCCAATTTGAAAAACATTTCAAGTATTAAGTGACAAGATTGCAACAGATAGAATAAGAAAGAAATGAAAGGCACAAATGCTTCAAAACCTTACCTGAGTCATATGTGCTTAGACCCTAATAACACTTAGAAATGGAAGCCTAGAATTTAGGAGAGGGGGAGACTGGCAATCATCATTGGAAAGGTAGAAATTGAGTTGCCACATTGGACAGTTTTTTCAAGAAAGAAGAGTTGAAATGAAAGAGGAGATTGGAAGGTAGCAATCAGAGAAGGAGGAAAGATTGTACAGAGGGGAGTCATAGTGGTCACGGGAGGAGGAATATTGGTAGAGGAGTGATCAACAACATCAACTGTAAACTTTCAAATATAGTTTAAAGAGAAAAAACTAAAAAGTATCCTTTGGGTAAAGCAGATAGTAAGACATTCAAGATTTAGGCAGACTAGTTACTATGCAACCAACCTTGTATGAATTAACATTTTGTGCCTAGGGTTTCCTCATCTTATCTCACAGATAATGTGTACCTTTGGACTGTTATAAAGATTACATAAACCTATATATATGTATAATTTATTTATTTATTTATTTTTGAGTCCTACCTTGTTGCATAAGCTGGAGTGCAATGGTGTGATCTCAGCTGACTACAACCTCCACCTCCTGGGTTCAAATGATTCTCCTGCCTCGGCTTCCCAAGTAGCTGGGATCACAGGTGCCCACCACCACACCCAGCTAATTTTTGTATTTTTAATAGTGATGGGGTTTCACCATGTTGGCTAGGCTGGTCTCAAACTCCTGACCTTGTGATCCACCTGCCTTGGCTTCCGAAAGTGCTGAGATTACAAGCTTGAGCCACTGCACCCAGAAACATAAAGGAATATATTTAAACTGCTTATAGTAGTACTGCCACATAGTATGGGCTCAACCAATATATTTTTGTTGTTTCTGTTATGTTTCTACTAAAATGTACTTAGGCGCTAAACACACTTTCTTAATCTATTACTTACAACAGCTCAAAGTGGTTGATGCTATTATTTCCTATTTCACAGGCAAAGAAAGTAAAATCAGGTAGCTAAATAATTTTTTCAAAGACAAATCGGTAGAGTGTTTCCAAAGACAGCCACAGCTATCCCTCCCATTCCATATGTCCTTTTGGAGTGTGATTTTACCACTCTTCCCATCAAGAAGTCAAGTCTATTCCCCTTCTTCTTGAATTTGGGCCTGCTTTGTGACTCACTTTAATCAACATGTGTGAAAGTATATATATATATGTGTGTGTGTGTATATATATATATATATATATACACACATATATATACATATATATATGTGTATATATATACATATATACATATATACATATATATATGTGTATATATGTATATATATACACATATATATATGTGTATATATATATGTATATATGTATATATACATATATACACATATATATGATGTATATATATACATATATATACACATATATACATATATATACACACCATATATATATACATATATATATATATATATGATGGAATACTACTCAGCCATAAAAAGAAAAGAATTCATGGCATTCACACCAACCTGGATGAGACTGGAGACTACTATTCTAAGTGAAGTAACTCAGGAATGGAAAACCAAACATGATATGTTCTCACTCACGAGTGGGAGCTAAGGTATGAGGTGGCAAAGGCATAAGAGTAACACAGGACTCTGGGGACTCAGGAGGCGGAAGGGGGTAAAAGACTACAAATAGGGTACAATGTATATTGCTTGGGTGATGGGTGCACCAAAATCTCACAGATCAACACTAAAGAACTTACTCATGTAACCAAACACTTTGGTTTGCTCTGTGTATTCTGTTCCCCAATAACCTGTGGGGGAAAAATTTTTTTTATTAAAAAGAGTCATTACAGAGTTTGCTTTCTCTCTGCCATATAAGGAAACAGTGAAAAGGCAGCTCTCTGCAAGCCAGGAAGAAAGCCCTCACTAGAAATGGAATCGGCTACAACCTTGAGCTTGGACTTCCCAGCCTCCAAACTATGAGAAAATAAATTTCTATTGTTTAAGCCACCCAGTATATACTATTTTGTTGCAGTAGCCCTAGAGGACTAAAACAGATGCCTCAGTCAACAGCCAGCCCAAGACCCCACACATGTGAGTGAGGCCATCAGTCTCTTGAGCTGAGACCTTCCAGCCCATAAATGAGCACAGCAGACAATAAGTGACGCAGAGGTGAACCATCCCCACTGAGCTCTGACCAAATTTCTCACCGACAAAATCATGAGTAATAAAATGGTGGTGCTTTAAGCCATAAAGTTTGGGGACAAGTTTTTAATGCAGCAATAGACATCTGAAATAGGCACAAAACTGGTAACAGAAACAGGACTGGAATCCATGTCTTTGTGGCTCCAAAGACTCTGTTCTTCTGCAATTATAGTAGAGTGGCGAGGGTGGAGCGAGCTGAACACAGGATCAAAAAGCAAGTGGAAACTGAAGAAGTAGAGTTAGCTAAAATAGGCTACCCTTCCCCAACTATTTGTTCTTTCATTCATTGAACAAATATTTATTCCTCTATGACTCAGAAAGTATGACACAGGAAGTCCCCTGTGACTCAGGAAGCATTCCAGGTCCTGGGTAATATATAAAGAAATAAGCAATGATCTTTGCTCTCTAAGGCAGTGCTTCTCAGCCTTGTGCTTGTCATGGCATAGATAGAAAATGAACTTTTTTCAGCACAAGAGGGTAAGAGACAAGGCCACTGGTGGCCAGCAGGAACTGAGGCAGGAGGAATCAACATCTCTGCCCAGGTATTACCCATTCTGTGGCATACCAGGCTTCCCTGGTGCCCTGGTTAGGAAGTTTTGCTATTTAGAACTAAAAAGTAGGAGTAAAAGTAAATCTTTTGAAAGAAGGACAAGGACAGAGAAGATGGTAACTGGAAAAAAAAAAGTGCATAGAAGGAAAGCTGTTTGAAGACAGGAGCAACTTCAGAATGTTTTCATCAGTGTTTTCCAAAGTAAGGTTCACTGGCCTTCTGTTCTGGAATTGCCTGGGTTTCTTATGAAAATACTGGTTTCTGGGACTCACCCAGACCCACAAAGTTATTTTTTAAAGAGCATCCCGGATGCTATGGTTGGACAAAAATAAATGTTGAAATTTAATTGCCATTTTAACACTATTTAGAAGTGGAACCTTGAAGAGGTGATTAGTCCATGAGGGCTCCACTTGCATGGGTAGAATTAATGCTGTTATAAAAGGGTGAGTTTGGCCCCCTTTGTCTCTTTGCCCTTCTACCATCTACCATATGATGATACAGCAAGAAGGCCCTTGCCAGATGCCAGTGCCTTGATCTTGGACTTCCCAGATTCCAGAATTATAAGAAAATAAATGTCTGGTTTTTTAAAAATTACCCAG